AACGTATCGCTATTGCCCGTGCTATTCTTCGTCAACCTAAGATATTACTTCTGGACGAGGCGACAAGTGCCATGGGCTCATCCAATGAACAAGTCTTTGTTTCTTTGTGAAAAATATCTCGTTGTTTATAGATTGTATTACAAGCACTCAAGCAAGCTCAAACAGAAGATCCTAGTCGCACATCACTAAATATTGCTCATCGTCTATCTACGGTTGTCTCTTGAGATTTGATTTGTGTTCTTCAAGAAGGATATATCGTCGAGAGTGGTACTCACACAGAACTAATGCAACGACATGGAACTTATTATCGCATACATGCTCAGAACATTTCATAGTCATTCGAATATTTTAATCAAAGAAAATATATTTCTAAAAGGATATTAATCATTTTTGCACGTACTCAATAATATCTATGATAACATAGCCAACCTTTAGTTATGCTCACGAACACTTCTTTTGAAAGTCTGTCGATGCACTTTCACAATGTACAACACTACAAAATCTGACATACACACTAATATTCACAATTGACTAGAATGTGGGTGTGACTCAAGAGAAGATCCCCATACCCACACCCTCCAGTCTCCATGTTAGCTTTTATACCAAAACACTCTGAGCTAGCCTAGTATTCCTCAGGCATACTCAACAAATACGATTTTTTCTTATATCTTGATATACATAAACTATTATCAATAGGAGAAAAAAAGTGGGATGAAAGGAGTGCAACGAAAGTTTTTGAGAACTAAAAAAGTGCATATACAATTTTTTTAAAGCAGAAAGCGCTGAGCTAACTTTTTTCATTTTACGGTCTTTTTTTATGTAAACGATACGATTTGGTCTGGAAAAGCTGAACACTTTCTAAAGAGGAGGAGGATGTGTACTCCCTCCTAACGTTACATACCTACATAAAACAAGCATTCAAAAAAGAAACAATACGTTTTTATGTGTGAACATGCCAACTTTTCAACCTATTCTTGATCAAGTCGTGATGAAAAGAAAAACAAGAATGCAGTATGAGATACGAATATGAAAATGAGTATTTTACTAATAGGATATTCTCAGTTTTCCAGTATTTCATGTGGTTGTTTTGCGAATAAATATAGAATATCTGTATATTTGGAGTTTTTATTTGTGTTGTTTCAAGGGTATGGACTGAAGAAAGGTCTCACTCACACACATGTATCTGTTTTACTCTTTTACTTATCCTTGGTTACATTATATGATCATTCTCATTGTTATTTTTTGTTCTTTTGTCGTTTTCTTCTCATTCTGTATGTCATCAACATTCTATTTGTCTTTCTTTGTGCAGATCTTATTGTGTATGTGAATATCTATTTTCGATGCTTTTGAGTTTAATTCATCAATAGAAAATTAAATGATAAGTTTTCAATGAAGATACTGTTTCGAGGAGGAACAACTTTGATACCAACAAGTGTACTCGAAATACATATTTATTTATTTTTGAATTCTTTTAGCGTTTATTCTAAATAAAATAATTATGTCTAAAGAAAGTGTAAGAACTTTGTTCTAACTCAATATTTACAGTTAGGAGTATCAAAACTATTAATTCACGTATTGATTCAAAAGAAAATGTATTTTCATCATCGATGACGATATAAAAGTGTTTGATCAATAGAAATTTTCATTTTACTATTTCTAATAATTATTGAAAAAGTGAAGGTGATTTATGACTTTACTTTCACTATTCGTTAGGAATCGTGCACGTTGAATCACGTGTACCTTTTCTACGCATTTTTCAATATACCAAGTAACTTTCATCTGTACTCACTCTTGTTTTCGAACTCTTATCACTATATAAAGGAAAAAGAGAAAAAAATGAACTTAAAGCATCGTAATATTGATTGGATATATTATAAGTGACGTGATAGAATTGAAAGAATTATAAAAAAAAAGGACTATCAAGAGATTATATACGTTTACTGATGAATGTCTCTTTGTCTCTCTCTTTTTTACGAAGAAAATAAATAACATCAACAATATATAAGGATGCATTTAATTCTTTTTTCAACATTTTTATTCATGTATATGTACTAATATTCAATATGAATACTAAAATTCTTATTACTTTCGTGTTATTATTAGGTACTTATTCTCTATTGAATTGTACGTTTTGAATAATACTAATCTCTTTTTCTACATAGTTGTCATTGGAAGCAGTGCTAGACAATGTTACAAATGTATTGCATGTCCTAGACCATTCCAAGGAAATGAAGCAGGTGTCAGCAAAGTCAACGTTGGAGACAATGATTACTGTCAAGTAAATATATATATTTAAATTTTACATGCTTTTTCGTCAACAGTTTAATTTTGATATAATTCTTTTTTAGAAAACGATTGTGTTAGGTGTTGAAAATCGAGACAGTGGCGGTAATGATTGTACCCCTGTAGATAAAGTGAAATATTGCTGTCAAGGCGATTTATGTAATGGAGCAGTAACAGCCACATTGACTATCAAATTTTTGGCAGCAATGACTAGCCTGTTATTTGCTATACAATACTTTCAATGAATGAACTTCAATTGATACTTGGTTTGTATTTTCGTTGAATATTATTTGTGCTTTTTTTCTTGTATAAAAACGTTTTTACAACTACAACTAATATATAAAAAATAAATCCAGCGAATTAATTCTATTGTATCTATTTCAACTGGAACACTAGCATAAAATTGCTTTAAGATTTCCGTACAAACTATGGTATAAGATCGTCAAATAGTGTAAAAGGATTATAAATTAAACAACTTCGCTGAAAATTTTCATTGATGTCCGTATGAAAAAATAAAAAATGATTCTACGATTCAAAATTGAAAAGAGGCAAAGCAGTAGTAAAATAAAAATGTCATTCATGGAAATTGTATGATTTGTGTTCATAAGTCATTATTTATTTCACATAAATTTTATACGATTTAATTCAATTTTAATAATTGAGTACTAAACATCTTACTAGATATAATGAATATGAAATGAAGCGTATTTAGTATATTTTGTCTCCATTATGAATAATTCACTGAATGTCGATTGATTCAGTTTATAGGTCTCTTAAAATTTAAAACAATCCACGATGAGTCTTCAAAACCAATTTATATGATCAATACAATAAAGTGCTCGTATCAATATATTGGATAGTTCGGAAGAAACTCATAGTTTTTGATTCGAATTGACATATATATAATCTGCATGATTTTGTTTGGTTTTTCATACCAAAAGATTCACTATGTAGGTATCCACAAAAACTGTATTAACTATTTTATTACAAAATATGCAAATGAAAGCTTACGAAAAACATTCTTGTTCTCAACAGATACCATAAGACACCGTTGAAGGTCAGTCAGTGTTGCTCAATTACCTTGAATTTAGCGTCAAGCTCTACAGGATTTAATGGACTTAGCGTGCTATTTCAAAATAATTAATACATTCGAGTAACGTCATTTTCATTCATCTGTCTATATATATATATCGGAGTTGTCTTCAAAATGCAACTAGTTGATTTTAAAATTGATTTCAAGGCAACTAAACTTTAAAGTCAACTCCAACATATATATATATATATCTTTAACCTCTTGGATACCGGGGATTTCTTGCGTTCTCTACAATTATATGGAAAAACCACTCTCTCTTGCGCTCGATCGTCTTGTATCAGCTGTATTCATGCATATTTTGTCGTACATATAACATGGATCGATATAGCTATGCCAATGAACATTTCGTTTCACAGCTGTTTATCGACACGACAGAACGAAAAAAATAAATTCTTTCGTTCTGCATGTCTTCAATTGAAGACAAGCAGTATCCAAGAGGTTAATTGTTCTGTTCAATCGAGCTATGAAAACTATATTTACTTGAAAGAATCATTGAAATCTGTTTTAACTATTACGTTAATCATGTTGTTAATTTCATTTTTAATTCGTCTAGTCTTTTTAAGACTAAGGACCACTGTATATATGATCGTAAATCTGCCATCTCCTTAGGTTTTAGTTTCAATAGATTAGAAAACTATAAAATGAAATTATGCATATTTCTTTGAATTTATCTTTCGTTTTATTGAATGTCTAAAATAATTTCCTTTTGCAAACTCACTATGAAAACTAATGGTATAGATCAAAGTAGTTTTTGATGTTCTAAAAATTGAGATAGTGATCATATTTATCATTGATCTCTGTCCCAGATTATGTAGAATTATAAAAATGTGATAGAATCCATTTTCATGTTATATAGACAAATTTTCATACGTTTTTTAGTGTTCTATTCGATTTAAATATCAAATTAATATTACAAATCACAATATATACTTCAGCAAAAATAATATGTCATCGAAAAAATTCATGTAGTCACTCTCATGAACTTTTTTCTCAAGTTTTGCCCTGCTTAAATGTATGTGACATCACGTTTTTTTTTGTACTAACTCCGAATATGGTATTCATTTTGCTCTGAAGTTGAAGTTAGATCAAGATTCAATAGGAAAATGATCGACATCAACTGTTACAGTACTCCCAAAATGATTAATTTTTTTACAATGTTTCTATAAGAATGAATTTTCAGATAAAAAAGTTTTTTCTTAAAACTATATAGATCTGTAAAATAGAGTACTGCAACCCGCGAGTCGGGTACCCGAACTCAACGCGGGTATCGGGTACGAAATGGACGGGTACGGGTAGGGTAGGGTACGAGCAGGGTAGAGTACGGGTATGAGTGACACAGCGATGAAAATTTGTACTCATACAATACTCTATAGAAAACCTAATGTTTTTGGAGAAACAAGTTTCTTTATTAGCAGGGCAATTCTTAAAAAATTGAAAATGCTTTTTTTTGCTGCTATATGATAGTGACATCTTTAATCACATCGTTGATTAGTGGTCCGATGAATTTATTCATGACATCATTTTTATATATGATCCGAAAAAAAATGGCGATGCTCAACTTCAACATTATTTTATTTAATTACGATACTGTATAAGTTTTTTTAGATTTTTAAAAATATTTACCATGTCTAACAGTGATAAAGATTCAATTAGAAAACGATTAGACAGTGGTGAATATAAATCGTGTGATAAGTCAACAACTGCTAGTGCCGAGTGGTGGAAATCATTCAATCGCATTCAAGATGAAAAAGAAAATATCATTCCTTATGTTATATGTATACATTGTAAATCAGTTCTTGCTTATGATTCACAGAAAACTAGTTCAAAAACACTGAAACTTCATTTCGAGAATTGCAAAAGTAAACTTACTATTACTACACCAAAAATTACAGCACATTTTACAAGTGAAAAATATAATCACGTAGCATCGAAACATATAAAGAAAGTATTAAATGAATGCGTTAAGTTTTGTGCTTACGGCATGAGATCGTTTAACTCGGTTAATGGACATGGTCTCGAATTTTTAGTGCAGGATCTTCTCCACGTTGCTTATTCAACTGATGTTAAGATTAAAGGGTCAGATATTATACCTCATTCAACAACTATATCTCGTCGTGTACAATCTATGGCTTGTGGTAAATAAAGTAATAATTCATAAAGATATAATTTACTTTGTTTTTCATAGATGAACGACGTAAATTAATTATTACATTAAAAAATGATATCGGACAGGTGAAGTTGTTTGGAATCACCTGTGATTACTGAAAAAACACTTATACGTCGGAAATTTTGTTGACTATTAGCATACATTATGGAAAAAATTATAAAATAAAAACATGTGCGTTAAAAACTATGCTTTTTTCTGTATCAAAAACCGGTGGTAAGTTCACCAATGGAAAAAGTTTCTTGCAAAGATGTTTCGGATCATAAAACGATAACGTTTTGTCCTAGAATATCAGAACTCAAAATCTTTTTTGTACCTCAATAAATCGGTATCGGTCATTCAACATTTCAATTACTTTTTGTTATTCTAGAAAATACATGGAAAGCAATATGTAATACGCTAGAATCGTATGACCTTCATCCAGATGGTTCACATATAATCTTTGTTACCGACAATGTATCAAAATTTAATTAATGCACTTAAATCTGAAGCTCATATTAGATGTGTGTGTCATTGCATTAATTTGGCTATTCAACAAGCAATTGAAAACTGCTATATTGTTAATCTCATGGTCAAACAGTCTCGTGAGTTAGTGTCGCACTTTAAACGTTGCGAGCTACGACAAATTTTACCAACAACATTAAAACATGATTGTGTTACCAAATGGAATTCGATATTCGAAATGCTCAACTCAATATTGCTAAATTGTACAGAAATTGAACTTACATTGGACGATCGTAAAGAAATATTTTATCTTAATAATATCAATCGAACACTTTTAAGTAATATATGTAGAATTCTATTGATCTTCAAGGTTGGTAGTGAAATATTATCTGCCGATGATTCCCCAACTCTGCATCTCGTTGTACCCTTTTTTAAAAAATTTCGTAAATGTTGTGAAGTACGACCCGGTGATACAGCTGAAATAACAGACTTAAAAAATATTTTGTTAAATAAGCTTGATGATAAAATTTGGTTATCGGAATTTCACTACATAGCCACTTTTCTTTGTCCAGAAACCAAAAGTTTAACTGTACGTATTAATCGTTATAAATATAACTGAAAAACTTTTTTTTTGTCTTTTTTAAGTCCTTAAACAAATCTGAATGAGATTCTGTTTTAAAAAGTGTTCGTTCAATGTTGAAAACATTGAACATTGATGAAGACGTCAACAATGTGGCTTCTAGTACAACAACTGCATCATTTCCAGGTGAAAAAAGAAACAAAAGATTTAGAACTGATGACTTAACTGTGAACGATGTATTGAGATCATATTGTGGAAAAGACGATGATGCATCTGATGATGAATACGCAGATCAATATGATGAAATAAATGATTATATGAAAAAGAAATTCGTTATTTCAACAGATACTGATATTTTGAAATTGTGGGGAAATTATTTGGTTGTTTATAAAAAATTATCTCGCTTATCTATAGCTTTATTATCAATTCCAGCTAGTTCAGCAACAAGCGAGAGAATCTTTAGCGAGACCGGACGAATCCTCGAGGCTCGACAACAACTATTAAGACCAGACTCACTTGATGCTCTTGTATTTCTTCGTAACTGTGTGTGACTGTCATCTAGATGCTGTTATTTCATTATTATTTGATCAAAATAAATCAAATCTGAAACTTATATTCTCTATTGCGCTTACACCTACAGTTATAATAGGCTCTATTTCAGCTATTTGGGGTGCCAACCGGGATAGAAGAAGCTTCTAGGAAATTGAAACCTACGGGTTGGGTACGGTACAGGTATAGTTGGTTACGGGTAGGGTAGGGTACGGGTAAAAATTTGACGGGTATGGGATAAAAAATAAGGTGTCGGGTAGGGTACGGGTACGAAAAGTTATACCCGTGCAGTGCTCTACTGCAAAATGAATGAAATTTTGTATATGTGATATGAGAATTGTATCTACTACATATTTATGATCCTACATAGTATGAGACAGAAATTAATGGTAACTATGATCACTATGGCAATTGATAGAGCATGACAAACTACGTCAATTGACGCTATTAGTTTTCATATTGATTTTTCAAAAGAAAAAAGTCATGGTTATCATAGTTATTATCGAAAAACATCCAAGACTAATAGACTCCCTAAGACTATTCAAACCTTAACAATTGTTTTTAGGCATTCAGCAGAACAGAAATTAAATACACCAACATACGCAGAATTTCATGTTACATATTTCTAACCCATTGAAAGTACAACCTCATGGGATGACAGATTTGCGATCTTATCCGACAGTGTTTTTTCTAATAATTCACTGTTCATGAATTACTAATTAAGGGATAAATGACATCAGAATAATGAAACTATACTGAGGTGGATTTATAAATGTTAGATTTTAAATAAGATATGTTTAGCAATACAGAATAAGAGTTCTATTAATAGTTTTGATGATTCAGAATATTTTTTCTTATGTTTTTTCTCATTTAATGGGTACGAGCGCCACACATTAGATTCATGAAAAGACGCAAAAAATCTCGAAACGTCAAAGTACAGAATATGTCGATAGAATCTGTTTTGAGTACGAAGTATGCTGCCTTGACGTCAAGAAAAAAAATTTAAATAGAAAAAATATTTTCAATCTTTGCACGAAATAATGGAAATTCAAGAATCATTCATGTTTTTTTCTTGTAACTACGTCAAATGTCAGTATTGTCTAAAGACGCTATAAATGGTTTATTGCTTATTCATATTTGTACAGTATACTAGTTTTTAGTTCCGTTGTTTTTCTGTTTTTCTGCATATCGTAATGTACTGCCACGATAAATACTGATCTTTTTTTCTCCCTGTTCTGTATAATATGTAATCTATGAGAAGGAAGCAAAGCTATTATGTCGTTTTTTTCTTTTCCTTTTTTTCCTTCTCGTTATTATTAATTTTATCTGTGTTCTATTGCGTTTATTCTAGAGATTAAACTGCGTATCATCGACATGCAATACGAACAAGCAAGTGAAAAAGTGATTATGATGAATACTCCTTATATAACTATATCCAGACCATTGTCACTGACTGAAGATCCTGAAGTACAACGAACTCGCAAAGTTTTTCTAATTATACTTGGCGTTTGTCTTGTGAGTTTTTATTTTTCTTTGATTATGATTGGATAATAATCACCGAAAACATTGCTTGTTGTTTTTTTACATAATATCTATACCAATTACATTATGCGTATTATATAAACAAAAATAGTATCATTTTTACAGTATCATGTAAATGAACTAATCAGATATACATATAGAATTTTCTCATATTTTGAGATGGTTTTTCTTTAAATATTCAAAAAACAAACAAATTCAAGCGTTTTCATACAAATTTTTAAAAATGAATTATTATTTGCTCGAATTTTAAAAGGAAAATGTTAAAAGTAACTATTCATAAATAAAAACGTATTTATCATTTTGTTTGAATAAATGAAAATAAAATAGTTATAGAAACTAGCAATATTATAGGAACTTACATCAGTCTCTTTTTACGCTTCATCGAACTGATGCCTAACACCATATGAAATAATACAAGAAATTTGTTCGAATTAATGCAACGTCACTTCCATCTACTGAGTTAAATATGAAAATGAACTCGTTTTATTCCAATATAAATATAATTTGATTAAGTCAAATCATTTCATAGTTTAACTAAATCTAGAAAATTTTTTTGTCGAACAATATTCATAATCTTATAGAACTTTTCAACATTGATCCATAGAAATTCGAAGGATTTCTTTTTAACTCATATTATATATTGAATCTTTTAGGCTCTTTGTATAGTCGGTACGATTAGTGAGATTTCTGAAAGCGGAATCACGAAAGGTATCCAAGAAACTCGACGTGGTGCAGTAATTGGCGAAGGTCTTCTTTCAATTCTTTTCTACAGTTTCGGAATATTCGTTGCTTATCGATATTATGAAACAGGTTTACGAGTGGTATGTACTATCTTTTGTTTTTATTTTGGCTTCATAAATAAATTTCATTTGATTTTAATAACATTTTAAAACATCATTTTTGTCGACTTAACTTTATTAATTAATGAGTCACATATTTTGTAATAATATATGTTATTTTTTTATAAATATATCGAATAAGAATCTTTTAAAAGACATGTCCATTCAAAATATCACTTTTGAATTAGGTTCTTTTTCATTCGAAAATCGAAACTAAATAGATGGAAGTATTTTGGCTTTATCAGTTGAATGAAAAAACTAAACCCAATGATTTTTTCGATTAATTTGAAGTATAGTTTTATTTTATTGAGACTATTCAATGTTTTCGGTTAAACGATCGATAGTCTTCTAAAACTAAGTGACAAACCTGAGCTAACCTATATACTTAAATCTCTAACATTGAAAGAATAGTATAGCTAATTATTCATAGGTTCAACAATTCTATTCATTAGTTTGTCTAAAATCTTATAAAAAAAACAAAATGAAACAATTAGTTATATCTCATTTGAAATCAGATACAATAAACGATTAGTTGATTTGTGAATGTATGTCGTGATACCTCTTCATCGGCATCGTTTTTGTTCCATGTCTGCTTCAATGCATATTTGTTTCCTAAAAACACTATTTCTATGCATATATAAGCCCGGAAAAAGATAGTTACAGTCCGTTTTTCGAAGATATTGTCACTATAAAAACATATTTTTTTTAATAATAATTACATATTCTGAAAGTCCGTGGACTTTTCTACCATCCTCTGTATTTATATTTTAGATTGTACCAATTAATCACTAAAAAAATTGGGTACAATGAAGGCAATCCTCATGTCCAGATTCCCACAGACTTGATTTTTTTTATTGCCATCAAGATTAATTTTTTAAAATTTTTCATTATTATAGAATAGCCTTTTTAAAAAAGCAATTATAGATTCGGATAGAGGTTGAAATTCTCTACTAGTCAATGTATTTTTATCTTGCCTTGCATATACGCGATTGGCAATAATTCGAGTATCATCTAGACATGTTCTAGAAAGAAGTAGCTTTTTTTAATTATCTCTATCACCTTTTTCTTCAAAGATTCACGATGATAGAAAATTTCAAGCTCTATCCGAAAATGAAATTGCTTGTTAAAAAAGTTCTCCTTATACTAATAATAACATTGGAATAAAAGTGAAAGTTTTACGTAAATAAATTTCGTTTCTTTGAGTTTCTTGAGGAAATTATCGACGTAACACTAGAATTATTCTTCAGTGTATACTGCACATAAATATAAGACCAGATAAAAATACATAGGATGATAGAGAATTTCAAGCTCGGTCAGAATCTATAGTTACTTTTTTTTGAAACTTACCTTTATAATAACTATATATTGAAAACAGGAGAACAGTAACAATTTTTTGGTACTTGTCGATTCACGGTGTGTTCACTGTACTCAAATTCTTTTTTCAATAATAAATATAAGAAAATAGATAAATATACAGGGTGATAGAGAATTTCAACCTCTATCAGAATCTATAATTGCTTTTATAAAAAGACTATTCTATAATAATGAAAAATTTAAAAAAAACTAATCTTGATGGTAATAAAAAAAAATCAAGTCTGTGGGAATCTGGACATGAGGATTGCCTTCATTGTACCCAATTTTTTTAGTGATTAATTGGTACAATCTAAAATATAAATACACAGGATGGTAGAAAAGTCCATGGACTTTCAGAATATGTAATTATTATTTAAAAAAATATGTTTTTATAGTGACAATATCTTCGAAAAACGGACTCTAACTATTGTATATATACAATGTGAAGTCAAATTGGCTTTATGTTTGATGAAAAACTTTCCATGGCATTATAATCTTCGTTACTTTTGAAGGTCTAAAACATCGACAAAACTAATAAATATTGAGGTGATAGGCGCATGATAAAGAAAAGTTATTAAAAAAAAAAAGACTTCTGATAGTTGTAGTTGTTTCGAGATGTTAGATATACGCGTTGATATTTGAGACTTCATGAAAAAAGCTAGAGCAACAATATTGGATGAATACTGCTTCAATGAAATGTTCACATTAAAACTGATATTTCCACTTTTAACTTTTAGTTTGCTTGGCTTAGCATAA